ATATATTCATACACACACACACACACACACACACACACACACACATATACTATACGCACCCACATACATACATACAGTATATACACTGGATGGAACATATTGCCCTCTAGATCTTATTATGCTGCAAATCCTATCAGCACTAATCGGATGCTTAGGGTCAATGCTGTTTCTTTGTTTTTATATATTGGGGAAGGGTATTGTATACCACCAAATGGGTTATTTTAATGTTTGTGTACAACACCTGGAATCTACAGGTATCGACAGTAAAAAAAATACTAATAATGAATCGAATGGAGTTTAGTCCAACATTCCCATCCCGATGTCCCCATTTTTTGGAGATCCCACTGACTTCACTGGGATGTATTTGCTAGTAAGCCTACATGCATATGGTTTCCGCCCTATTTTGGCTTTTTAAATATACATCACTCTTCAGAGTGACCCAAAGACAGGAATTAATAAACTACGAGATAGAAAATCTGCCAAAGTTAACACAGAAGGCAAATATAGATGATATTTGAGTAATTTATCATTGATTTGAGTAACTCCACCTGGCTAGGTAATATATTCTTTGTATGAATATGTAAATTGGCTGTTTGCCTTTGCAAGTGAGGCCAACTTACCCTTTGGGTTTTGTTCATTCATTATAAGAAAGGACAAGATCCCAAGGAAGAAATAACTTTCTTTTTCTGTCTGCCTGCCTGCCTGCCTGCCTGCCTGCCTCTATCTATCTATCTATCTATCTATCTATCTATCTATCTATCTATCTATCTATCTATCTATCTATCTATCTATCTATTTCCAGAATGTCTATAGCTTAGTATTCCATAGTGTAATCACCCTAAAAACATACATTCATTATAACTTTAAAACAAATAGGTAAACTTTAAAATAGCCCTCTGCCAATCAGAGAGGGATTGAACCATAGAGGCTAGTCTCCCACCATCCGTCAGAAAAGCCATGTTTTCAGCACTTTTGGGAACATGGTTAAAGTTAGCCAGATTTGGGAGGTAGGAGTATATTCCAGAGAGTCAAGGCAGGACTAGAGAGCCACAGCGTCTTATTTTTAATATGAGAATGATGGTAGTTGCTCATTACAGTACTAGACTGAGAAGTGGGTAGAGGCAACTCTTGCCTTGCGTAAGCACTCCTGGTCAGTTGCCATATCATTCTGAGCCCATCTTCTCATGGTCTCCTGCCTTGCTCCAAACTTCAAGGAGGAGATGAAGATCACAAGCAAGGACAGCAACTCAGCCTCCTTTTGAGGAAACCTGATTGCCTCAGGATAGCTGGGCTCTCTGGAAACTGATAGCTGGGTAGGGGAGAAAGTAACGGTGGAGCTGGGAATTAAGTCTTATATCACTGTAGCCAGAGTCACTTTAACTGAAGCTGATAAAGCTGGTAATTCTGAAGTTTAATTGAAGATAATTCATTCCTGATTATCAAGAGATTAAGTAGCTGCTGAAATTAAGGAAAGGATTGGGTTTGATAACTTGCCTTTATGAAACATTAGAGTGCTAATAAGGACAGTTCAGGGCAAGCTTCCTGGCTCAGTTTCCCCTGATCCAGAATGTTGACTATTGTTGTTGACAAAGCCCCCAGGCTGAGAAACCTGGTTTACAGTGGTTAGTGTTTTCTACTAGACTATATTCTTTAATATTTTGAAACTCTTATGCAGTGACGGCTAGAGTTGGGTGAGAAAGGTTATTTTATTGTGTTCATTGTTTTCTTGTTAAAGACCTTTGTGGAATGAAAACAGGATTCATTTCATTTTATTTTTGCGTTTATTCCTTTAAACTTTATTTGGTCACTGTATGAGTGTAGCAACAAAGAGTTACTCTATTTCACCACTCTTGTCATTCGCCATTTTATCTTCTCTGGATAAAATATTAGTATAGGCACCATGTTCCCCCCAGAAATGCTCTGGAGTAATACAAACTTGTGTCTCCCCAGCTGGTCATAAAAAAACTTTGTTCCTGCTACTGTCAGAGAAAAGTAAGTCACCCACCTCTCAAAGGTGCAAATAATGGATGGATGGATATGTATGGAAGTTGCAAAAACTTGCTGGTATGCTCTTCAAAATGCTTGTTTCAGAGTGTGCATGTACAGTCAGCACCAGAAATATTGGAACAAGGATAACTGTTTTGGCATTTGGCCTCTGTACACCACTACATTGAAGCTGAAAGGAAAGCTGAAAGGAAACACACCCAGATGGGAATGAAGTCAGGACTTTCAGC